AGTGTCACTGGCCCTCATATGTGGGATCCGAACCGGGGCCCTCTGGCATCCCAAGCGAGTTCTTAACCATCGCGCCACTCGGCCGGCCCTGTATTCTTAAATTTATTTCTTTCTAGTCTGTTTTCATTTGTGTTAAATATTCTTACCTAGTTGTAATCATAGCATATGTTATTTTGAAATAATTATAGACTTACAGAAAAGTTGCAAAAATAGTAGCGTTCCCATGTATCTTTCACCCAATGTCTCCCTCTTTTTTTTTTAAAGATTTTTTTTTTTTATTGGGGAATTGTGGAAGGGGAACAGCCAAGTTGTCCTTCAGTCTTAGTTGTGGAGGGTGCAGCTAGCTCAGCTCCAAGTCCAGTTGCCATCTGTCTGCCCGTCGGCAACTCACTGCTGCTCAGCTCAGGGTGCCTGTGTTCAATCTTAGTTGCGGGAGGGCATAGCCCACCATCCCATGCGGAAATCGAACCAGAAACCTTGTTGCTAAAATAAAAAAAATAAAATAAAAGAGCGCATGCTCTATAACCACTGAGCCATCCTGCCACCTCTTGGCAGCTCAGCAGCAGCTCAGCTTGGGTGCAGCTCACTGGCCCATATGGGAATCGAACTGGTGACCCCATTGCTCAGAGCTCATACTCTTAACCAATTGAGCCACTCAGCCGGCCTCACTCAGCTTCTTTTAATATTACATCTTGCATAGCCATAATAAAATTATCAAAAGTAAGAAATTAGCATTGGCACAATACTGTTAACTAAATTACAGACTTGGTTTGATTTTGACCAGTTTTTCCATTAATATCCTTTTTCTCTTCCAGGATTTCACATTGCATTTAGTTATTATGTCTCCTTAGTTTGCTCCAATTTTTGACAATTCCTCAGTCTTTCCTTGTCTTTCCTGACCTTGATACTTTTGATGAGTACTTGTCAGTTATTTTGTAAAATGTCCCTTGGTTTGGATTTGTCTTAAATTTCTCATGAATAGATTGAGAAATCTATTTTTGGCAAGAATACTACAAAAGTGATGTGCTTTTCTCAGTAAATCATACCAGGGAGTATATGATGTCATACACTGGTGGCATTGACCTTGGTTAAAGTGGTGTCAGTTGGGTTTTTCCCCTATAAAGTTAGTATTTTTCAATCAAGCCCTTCTCCATGGAACCTTGAGAAACAAAAATCTGGGTAGTATGTGTGCTCAGTTGCTCCTGGAGTAGTCATTGTCTCTAGGTCCGCTCAGCTTGAGCGGAGCTTGAGAATACATTTTATATATATTAACATATGCATACATGCACATCTATATTTGTTTATATCTTTTTAAACTGAGTTATTTGTATAATTCTGATACATACATAGTTTCAGAATTTCTAACCCTATAAGAAACAAATGTACTAACTAGAGTATGGAATTTGTGTACAGTACTTTTTGTCTTGCCTTACATGACCTAGTCAAAATACCATTTTCCATTGTAACTTAGGTTAGGTTTGTTTTGCCCCTTCAATATGATTGTTATTTATTTATACTACAGTCAGGGTTACTTATTACAGTTTGTATTCCATTTTGGGTTTTCCACTGAATCCTAGTTGTTGTTTTATTTTATATGTTTAAACTTTACTCTCTGTGGCATACTATTTTGTGGGGTTTGACAAATGCCTTGAGTTGTGTCTGCAACTACAATCATGATATAAAAACAGTTCCATTATCCTGAAAATTCCTGCGTGCAGTGCTCTTTTATAGTCCTCCCCCTTGTAACCAATGATTTGTTTTTATCCTATAGTTTTTCCTTTTTCAGAATGTCACATAAATGGAATCTTCCAACATGTAGCCTCCGTAGTCTGTCTTCTTTGATTAGAAAAATGCATTTAAAATTCATCTATTGTTCCATACATCTGTGTTGTTCCATACGTGTGTTTTCTTATCATCTGAATTATATTTACTTAATTGTTACAGATAAATTACTTATTAAGATTATTAAAATTAGGCTCACATTTTTTAGTATTCTTATTCTGGTTTTCCTACATTTTTCAATATCCTTAGAAAAAATATTACAAGACCATTTGAGGATCAGACATCATTGGTAAGTATGAAAATCTTTCTGATTTAAGAGTACATGTAAGTGATTATTCAGACTAATTTATTTAGTACTCGTAATTTATGATTTTTTAAATTAGAAATCATTGCATGTGAGGGACTTTTGATGTAAAATGGAGGGGAAGTAAGATTTACACTTTCAAAATATGACTATAGATCTTACATTTCACCATGACTAGTATGTATTATTCACTACTTGTAAGTCTATTGATAGAATTTTTAAACATTGAATTGCATTTTAAGTGCATAATTAATGGATTGTCAAAAGGAAGCTTGTTATGGATCTTTTTATAAAGCAAGTTTGATTTTTTAAAAATCTGACTTTTCTTTCTTTGGATATTTTTACAACAAAGAACTCTACCTGAATTAAATTATTGTTAACAGTTGTCAGTTGCTTTACTAAAGTTAATCAAATTCCTGTTTAAGTATACTGGCAACCAAAACTAAATGAAAAAGCCTAAATGAATGATTTCAGAAGGTAAAAGATGGTATATAGTAAATGGTGAATGGACTTTGAGTATGTGATGATACTGGTTTCTTTCTAAAGAAAATCTTAAAGGAGTATGTGGTTTAAACTATTTAAATAGATTTTATAAGAACAATCAGAATGTCATCAGAATGTGATTATGTTCTCTTGATAGGAACACCATTGCTTGTTTTTGTCTTTTAGTTAGTGAATTTAAAAGAAAGTGCTTTTGAATAGAATCTCAATAATTAGAAGACTAAAACTGAACACCTTGTCCTAATGTGGCAACTAACTGCACTAACAATTATATTAAGAGAAATACTAGCAAAATAAATATTCAGGTTTTTTTTACAAAATTGCTTTCATTGTAGGCTTGCTTTTTTTTACAGTCATTTGTTGATGGGATCATTTGTTGATGGGATCATGGGACCAGAATTCTATCTCTTCCATGCACTACTTAACAAGGGCTAGTATTTTGTGGCACCGTGATGCTTTTAGTTGAGTGACCACTTTGTAGCAATGTTATGTTATAGAGTCTGTAACATTCTGTACTTTTTCAATCCAATGATGATATGACAGCTTTTCTTATACAGTAATACCTTGGTTTGTGAACATAATTCGTTCCAGAAACAAACTACTCATATTGCAAGACATTGCTCGTTTACCAAGTTAAAATGTATTAGAAATGTTTGCTTGTCTTGCGGAACACTCACAAACCAAGTAACTCGCAATCCAAGGTTTTAGTGTACTTGAAATTGTGACATTTACTCTCTGATCTCTCATCTCTCGAGGTGGTATTTCATTGGCCTTAATAAATCTCAGACCTCTAACGCTCAAAATGGCTATGGAAACAGTGGTCATGTTGCATATGTGGTTAAATTCCTCCTCTTGACCTCCTCTGCCCCCCATTTCTTACACTATAATCTTGGAACTGTGCTTTAGAGTAAGGGTTGGCAAGTATACCTTTTGTGGGCCAAATCCCTGTTTATGTGAAGCCTGTGAGCTAAGAATGGTTTTTTATATTTTTAGAAGTTCTATTTTCTTTTTAAGAAAGCATATAAAAAGCCTAAAGTATTTATCTGGCCTTTTGCAGATAATTTGACAACCTTTGCTCTAGTATTTTAACAAATAAAAGTTGGACTTTATGGAGAAGAATAGAGATAAGTACTAAATACATGTGAAGGGTAGTTAATGGAAAGCTTTGAGGTGTTAATCATAACATGTTATTTGGACATATAAAAAACATTTTCAAATACCTACTTTTTGCCAGACACAGTATAAGGTACTTTCACATATGACAAATCATGTGGTCCTTGAGATTTTTGCAGGAAGTGTTATTGTCCCTGATTTACAATGATAAAACATTCTCAGAAAGGTTGGTCAGATCCCATAGCTCTGCTAGAATTCTTGGACTTTCTGACTGCGTCCTCCATGTGGGGAGTGGATAGACAAGTGGGTTGTTGTTTCCCCGCTTGCTTCTATTTAAACACTGGAATGAATGATAACCAAACCATGAGCTATACCTCAGGGAGTCTTGAAACCAATAAAGACAATTCAAGGATTATAGTTGTTTCATCTATTCTTTAATGTTTGTCATTAACTTAAGAAACTTCCGGCTGGCGGGTGGCGAGTTGGTTAAGAGTTGGCTTGGGACGCCAGCTCTGAGCATCAGGGCTCTGGTTCAGATTCCACATGAGGGCCAGTGATGCTGTGCCCTCTACAGCTAAGATGGTGAACAACAGTTCGACCTGGAGCTGGGCTGCCATGAGTTGCCGGCAACGGCGTAGGCTGCACTGAAGCTGCAGTGGGCTGCCATAAGGTGCCATGAGCGGCCGGCAGCCAGCATGAGCTGCCAAGAGCCGCAGTGAGCGGCCATCTAGTGGCCAGCAACTGATCTTCCTCACCCGGGAAGAGTGCAATGATAATACCAACATGGGCCAGTGAAGCGACGTCCTCCACAACTAGACTGAAGAACAAAAGGACAGCAACTTGTCTGTTCCCCTTCCCCGATTCCCCAATGCTGTTCCCCTCCCCCAATTTCCCAATACAATCTTTAAAAAAAAAACTTTTCCAACTAGACTAGAACACACAATCTAATTTTTGAGCTGAGATTGGGAATCTCAGTAAACTGAATCAATTTATGGGAAGTAGTGAGAATGCACATCAACATAAAAGGAGCTGTCTAGGATAACTGTTTCCACTCCTCTCGAGTCTGTAATGGGAGTCAGTATTTGGAGAGGCAAATGGAGGAGATATTTCTTATTGGTAGGAACAACATAGGTCTGTCAGTCAGCCCTTGCTGGCTGTACAAAATGGAACTAGTCACAGCTGGGTGGCGTGGAGATTCAAGGGCAAGATTCCTGTGTGGAGAAAGTTCGTAATGAAAAGTTGATATATGCATTGTAAACTCATGAGTCCAATTTAAACATCTAAAAACACCATATTGATTAATTCATGTAGGTTCCCTGTATATGTTCATGTGTGTATTAAATGTATGCTAAGATGTACTACTGATAGCAATAATGTTTCATGAGTAAAGGCATGTGTTTAACAAATGAAATACTTGCTGTGCTATTCCAGAATAACTGCATAGCTGAAAATAAATGGTCTCACTTTATTATCCTAATAGTTTACACATATTTTTAGTTTTGAACTTACATCTTTTCCCTATGCACCCCCAATCAGAAAATTTGAAGTAAAAAGGTAGAAATAAATTTCTTTTCCTGTTTATTTCTACATAGTTCATTAAGTCTTCATTAACTTCCACTGGAAAAACAAAGAAACTTTTTTAGTTCAGAGGTACAGTTCTTAAGTTTCTTATATTCATTGATTGAATGGGATTTCTTTGGTTTTACAGGAATTCTTTTCAAAGAAGTCAGATTGTTCTTTATTCATGTTTGGCTCCCATAATAAGAAGAGGCCAAATAATCTGGTAATAGGTAAGTATCATTTACTTTTTAATATTTTTACTTATAGAGTCACTTCTGTGACTCAGATTAATTGATGGTGTTGAGGATTCAGAAGCAATTAGTTAAGCTCTAAACTAGTATTTTTCTTTTCCTTGTGAATTTGAATAACATTTTTTGAGTTTGAATAAAATTTTTTATCTCTCAGTCTTCAGGTAAAGAATGAGCATGTAACTATTAACTCAAGTTGTAGATATTTTTCTAATATAAAACATGTATATCCTAAATCAGTGTCAGAGTTAGAAAATAACAAAGTAGCATTCCTGTTTGCATAAATTAACCCTTCCCTAATCAATACCTGTTTAATGAATACATTTGACAGTCCTTGCCTGGGTGTATTGAGACTTGGTCTGGCATGCTCACTGACTTAGGTAACAAGCCCTTTACCCTCTGTGGGCCTTTATTTACTTTTCTATAAAATAAGGGAGTTTGGCTAAATGATCTCTAAAACTCTTTCCAGGACCAAAATCACAACAATTTATTCTAAGTAGGGTTGAAAATTTGAGAAAGAGGAGATGTGTTTAAGTGGTGTAAGGAAAAAGAAAAGAGGCAGATATTAGGACATTTTGAACATGCAAATAAGTGGGTACATATACAGCAGCTATTTGGGAAAAATAAATGCTTAAAAGAAAATGTATTTTCCTTCTAGGTCGTATGTATGACTACCATGTGCTGGATATGATTGAATTAGGTATCGAGAAGTTTGTTTCTCTAAAAGATATTAAGGTAAGATACTGATCATAAAAATGAAAAGCATTTTGTAATGTGCTCTTGGGCTATAGTGACATCTTGTGGAAAAGAGTAGTGATACACGTTTGTAGTTAAAAGAATTATAGCAAATATAGAATTACTCCTTTTCCCAGCCTCCTCTAAAAAAAGGGACATAACTTCCAGGTTTCCTGTGGGTTTGAAAAAAGGCTCTTACCAGATCCCCACTTAGCTATACCAGTTTCCTCAGGTACAGTATAGAAAAGTAGCCTGAGATTGGATTTAGAGACAAAATATTTGGTTTTGGGGCCTGTATTGGCTGTTCAGATGAGATTTATGACCTGATAAGTCAGTTACTTTCCTGATCCTCAATTGCAATCAAGTATTAAATAGGTATAACGACATCAAATGAGATAATATATGTGAAAATGCTTATCAGTGAATAATGTATTGGAAAGTGTTTTGTAAAGTGTATAATCTGTGATGCTTTATTATGATGGAAGCCATCATTTTATTATGGTTTCTCTTTGGGGTTGTACACACACCCCTAGGGATGAGCAGCATATCCCTATTTCACCTTTACCACTGCCGCTAGCTGGGTCACCAGTTAGAGTGGGTAGGAGCGCTAGCTGATAACTACTTCACTTCCAAAGCAAAGAAATACGGTACTTCCATCACTGTTCAGCTTGTAAGCTGTACTACAAAACTGTTGTTTGTCAGATTTCATTCTTACCAAGAACCTTTTAAACTGAATATAAATTTTCACTCATGGAGCCCATCCATAACTATTATATAAAGTTCATTAATTGATGAAAATATGCTTGCATTGGCAATTCCTGCATAGACTGTTAGTCAGCTCTTAACTTTTAACCCCATTATTTGGTTCTGAGCTTGTATTTTTAGTTTGGTTTGGAGTTAACATGTTTTGTTACACTTTTTCTTCACATTTCCTCTTTAATCTGTCTCCTCATTTTTTTAGACCTCTTCACCAGTTATTTCTTTTCTCACTTGCCCACTTTTATTGCCAAACCTCATCCATCTGTTAAGTCTTTTTTTTTAAAAGATTTTATTGCGGAATTGAGGGAGGGGAACAGCGCTGGGGAATTGGGGGAAGGGGAACAGACAAGTTGCTGTCCTTTTGTTCTTCAGTCTGGTTGTGGAGGATGTTGCTTCACTGGCCCAAGCTGGCACCATCATTGCGCTNAATATCTTTGTGCTAAGCCACCAAAGTATAAATTTCACATGGCTTGTATTCCACATTGTATAATTTTATAGCAGTTAAATTCATATGATATACCACCATTTTCATGGCATGAGATTAATTTTTAATATTGCTATCTTGCTAAATGAAGCAGTTACCTTTAAGAATGGAAGCTAAACAAGAAAGTCTGTCTTGACCAAAATTTGTGTTAATCCCTGTGCTATTTTTTATGCAATAATTCTTTATTGAAATTGTGCTTTTTATAAGGCTGTAACTTTTCTTTTGCTATGTCACACAAAGATAGTGGCATTTATAACAACATTTACATTCAATTTAAATAAGCTGGTGTTTGAAATAGATAATACTTATTTTGGAAAGTTAATGATATGGTAGAATAAATCCAGAGTTGTTTTTACCTAAAATATAAAGTTTTTTGGTTTTTTTTTAAAGATTTTATTGGGGAATTGGGGGGAGGGTAATAGCACTGGAGAGTCAGGGAAGGGGAACAGACAAGTTGCTGTCCTTTTGTTCTTCAGTCTGGTTGTGGAGGATGTTGCTTCACTGGCCCAAGCTGGCACCATCATTGCGCTCTTCCCTGGCGAGGCAGATCAAATCGCCAGCCTCTGGATGGCCGCTCACTGCGGCTGCTGGCTGCTCACGATAGCTGCCGGCTACACACAGTAGCTTATGGCAGCCCACTGCAGTAGGGGCTGCAGCCTATGCTGTAGCCAGCGACCCATGGCAGCCCAGCCCCAGGTCGAGCTGCCATTCACCATCTTAGCTGCAGAGGGTAGTGTCACTGTCCCTCATATGTGGGATCCGAACTGGGGCCCTCTGGCATCCCAAGCCAGTACTTAACAAATGTGCCACTCAGCCGGCCCCCATCTGTTAACTCTTAAGCAACGTTAGATTAGACTCTACCAGGACATTGAGTGATTATTTCAGAAGCCTGTTTTTGAAGATGGCCAGATATCTAGGGATTTTTTTTTTTGCGTAAAATAAGCTGTAATGAATGAGATGATTAAAATTTAAGGCTAGTTGATTTTTTAGATAGTATAAAATACATTTCAACTGCCTGGGATATTTTATTTGAAAAGTTTGCATGTTTTATAAGAATTCCTGTCATTTTTTTTTCTTTATTCAAAAGGTTAATTCAAGGACTTCATAATTATAACATTTTTAGTATACTATATTATAGTATTTATGGTATTTTAAACTTTCAGACTATTGGAATAAAGCTCATCTATTGTAGTTTCTTATAGTTCAGGGTTTTCATATTGTGAAAAATATCAGTGATCTACATGTTAAGTACTGTTTCACATAACTTGTTTAATTATATTTTTATGATATTTTTACTGGGCCATGACCTAAAATATATTTTTTTATTATTATACATTGTGGTTAGGATGGTTTAAAAGCCAAAGTTATAGTTGATGTTTCCTTACTTTATCTTACCTACTGTATATACTTAAAATAACCCCCGTAGAACTAGGGGTAGCAGGAGAGTCAGGTAGGACAGGTGGAACACATTGGGTCTGGCAAGTCCATTTAGGCCCTTGATCAGACAGATCTTACGCACATCTTCTTAGACAGTTAAGGTCCAGAGTTTGGAAGCTGAGAATGTCAAGAGAGAGATCATGATCAACAGGGAAGCAACAGGTGACCTCTGGTCCTAGGGCAGAGGGTGTTTGTTTTTCTGTCCTGTTTTTTCCCTTTTCTTTCTTTCTTTCTTTGCTAGATTTGGACAATCCTTGATTGATGTCAGAGCAGAGGTATTAGAATCAATGGGAAGCTCAGACCAACAAGTTCATTCACCTTTCTCCATAAATTAATCCTTCAGTTAAAGAATTTTATTTCTTTATTTAATTTTCTTTCATTTTGGTGGCTTTTGAATTTAAATCCTCTTATTACTCACATCACATTCTTCTTGGTATAGAAAATCTAGAACTGGGCAAAATACTTTTAATAATAAGAGCTTCAACCCTGCTGAGTGAGGATTAGCCCATACTTTCTATAGCTTGTGTAAAGTTATATTGCTTCTCATGTGAATGTTTAGTTGGTAGTTTAATTTAGCTTTCATTTAAAAATATTGTTTATGTGATAAAGGCACTGTGGTATAAACAATTCAAAGAAACTTGTTTTGACTCTGGGATGCTGGCTATTGAAGGGCTATGTTTGTATTGTAACAAGTTTAGCTTTTAATTTTATTCTTTGCATAGAATAATTTTAAAAAGTAGCTTATGTCATTCTTTGACCACTTATTAATTTGGCGATGTGAGGGAATGGGACAGAAAATTGTTTTTAGTATAAAAATCTGTAAATTTAAAAATCCCAACTTTTCAAGTCTAAAGTCAGTATTATAGTCATAGTTTTAGGACGCTTAAGAAAATGCTAAAATGAATCATTACATATAAATATTGACTACTTTAAAATCAGCATATAAACAGTTTACTCTTGATAATTATATAATTATATATATTTTTCATTTCATAGAATAGTAAATGTCCTGAGGGAACAAAACCCATGTTAATATTTGCTGGTGATGATTTTGATGTAACAGAAGACTACAGAAGGCTAAAAAGTCTTCTTATTGGTAAGTATTTTAATGCTTATCTGTAGGGTAGCTCAGGTAGGCAATCTAAGACTGTCATTAGTGGCACTTGGTCCCTTCACTGTAAATATACAGCTTTTTCTTTTTGATCTCTTTTTTTCCTTTTCATTGTTCCACGCTAGCAAGGGGAGAGTTAAAAGGATGTTATACTCTATAGATAATTATTGTTTGTTGATGCTATAATAATTTTGGTATCAACCTATTTATATACATTTTATACTTTTATAAAATGCTTGCTTCCATCTCCTGCCATTATTGACATAATTAAATTAAATTTAGAAAATTGAAAAATTAAAATTTTAAGATTGTTGTACATCATTCACTTGCAACTCAAAAACATCTACTAGTTTTTCTTAGTCCGATATACAAGGTTTTTCACACTATAACTTGCTTTTTTGATCTCCCCCAATTCTTTCCTCCCTTTTTCTTTAGAAGTGGTTTATTGAAAATATATTATGCATAGTCCTATTGTCTTTTCTGATTTCATTCTTTTTGTTTGTTTGTTTGTTTGTTTTGTTTTGTTTTTTGTTTTTTTTAAGCTGAGCCATCCTGCTAACCCTGTTGGCAGCTCAGAGGCAGCTCAGCTCGGGCCGGGAATCAAACCGCTGTTGTGCTCAGAGATCAAACTCTTGAGCGAGCTCTTAACTAACTGAGCCACTTGGCCGGCCCTCATTCTTTCTAATCTGTCTTTTTTTCATTCTTGTAAATTTTGTTTCATTCCCAGGAAACCCTCAGTGACCTCCCCAGCTCCTTTTATTTTATTTCATTATCATCATCCTAAGTGCCAAGCATGTACTAGGTACTTTATATACATTGCTTCATTCTCACAATAACCTTGTAAGGTCGATTTATAGATGACTTATTCTTAGTCAGCTACACTAGTTCCTAATGATTTATGTAATGACTACATCCTTTTCTATGTATTCATAAGTCACCTTAAAATCCAATATACAGTTGTCATCATCATCTGGGATTGACATTAATTTTACCAGTTTCAAACCACTTTTTTCCCCCTTGTTTGAAAAGCTGACATTATTGTTCTCCATGATTTCTTAAGTGTTATTAATACTTAATATTCTGTAATTGCATCTGCCAGCTCTTTTCTAACTGAATAGAAATTTAGTTAGTCCCTAGAGATAGGAACACTTCTGATACTCGGCAGGAGTATCTTAAGTTTAAATAATTTATTCCATTTGAGCTTTTCATGCACCATTCTTACAAGCTAGGCCACACACTTTTTTGGTTGTCCTCTTTTTGGATTTGTATATACTTTGCTCTAGATCACTTTTAAAAAATTGGTGGGGTATATGTTATAAATAAATTGTATACATGCTCTTTAGAAATCTGAGGCGACCATAAAAGGTTTGTGAACAGACACATTACTTTCATTTTTCCTTCTTAGGATTATATATGGTCTTATTGTTGGGATTATAATTTTAAAAACTTCTCATTTCTTTTATTAATAATGGCTATTTAAAAAAACACACGCACTTGAGCTGCCAACAGGTGGCAGGATGGCTCAGCTAAAACAAAACAAAACAAAAAAAGACACACGCACAACTGAGTACCACTATAACTGTTTAATCCTTTCTAAAGCCCAGACACAGCTTTTCTGCCTCTACTGCCCATCTTGGACAGTAGAACAGTTCCCTTGCAGAGTCTTTGCTGTAGGTTCTTATGTGTATTTTTCATGAATTAAAAAATAAATCATATATGAAAGACAATGCCCAACATTTCTTTCTTTCAATATTACACACTCCAAAATATCAAAGGTGTTTTTCCTATTTATTGTTTATACTCCATTGGCCTAGATTTTCTGCCTTTTATCCCCTTGTTCTTCCAATTAATTATTAATTGTCCGTGAGGGTAGTACTTTAATTTATTATAACAGAGAGGGCTTTTGTTTGCTTTTGTTTAAATGGTTTCTATAAAACTATCTTATTATTTTGTGCTTCCACTAGATGGCAGTAACAACCACATAATACAGTGATGAAGGGGAGGGAGTGAAAACCATAAAAGAATCTGGGGAAAGAAGAAAGAAACCAGTAAATATCCACTTTTAGATTTAGTCCACCCTAATTCTTATGCTTACTTTTTTATATGACTATTCTTTATATATAAAGATGATAGTAAATCAAGCAATAGGTCAGTTTTATTAAATGTCCTTTTAAGGTTTCCCATTAAATTTAACTACCTAACTAGGTTACTTCTTCTTTGCCTTTATCTACATTGTTTTAATTTTTTAATTTAACCTTTCTCATTTCCTAATTCTTATTCTACTTGAAAAATATATAATGAAATAATGCATAGATTAGGTCAGGCAATTTATTAAATTTAATCCTTTCAAAGCTCTGCAAGGGCATTGTATTAGTCTGCTGAGCCTTCCATAACAAAATTTTCTCACAGTTTTGGTGGCTAAGAAGTTCAAGATCAAAGTTTCTGGTGTGGACTCTTGCTGGCTTCTTCTTATGTGCTCATGTAGCTTTTCCTTTGTGAGTGCAGGGGAGAGGGAGGGAGGGAGAGAGACAGGAAAGAGTGTGCCAGCTTTCTTATAAGCACATCAATCCTATGGGATCAGGGCCCCACCCTTATGACAGACCTCATTTAACCTTAATACTTCTTAGAGGCCCCATCTCCAAATATAGCCACACTAGGGGTTAGGGCTTTAACCTGTGAATTTTGGAGGGACACAAACATTCATCATTACAGTAATATTATTCCTATGTTGTGGATGAAGAAATTCAGACCAGTTAACTTACTGTCCAGTGTGAAGAGCTAATAAGTGGTAGAATCAGGATCTGATCTAGTTTCTGACTCCAGCCCCTGGTCTTTCCCGCCAACACCCTGGTCAGCCTTCTGTGTCCTTTCCTACTCTATGAACTCATGGGCACAGCCGCATTTGAGCTCTTATTTTTGCTTGAAATTGATCCATTGCAAAAATGTCCAAACTGGGGCTTTTCTTCTGACTATAAGCAGTTGATCCTCTATCTCTTCCACCTCCTTAGTTCTATGTAACCGGGTTTTCATCCTTATTCCCATACTCATAATATGCCCCATTTTACCTCTGCCTATTTTTTTTTTAAATTTTATTGGGGAATTGGGGGAGGGGAACAGATAGGTAGACAAATTGCTGTTTTGTTCTTCAGTCTAGTTGTGGAGGACGTCGCTTCACTGGCCCATGTTGGTATGATCATTGTGCTCTTTCCAGGAGTACCTCTGCCTATTTTAGGGTCAGCCTTTTTCTCACTCTTCTGAGGTTCGATATACTTTAATCTATCACCCCTTTGATGTTTCAGAGTCCTCTTATACTTTTATTGCCCCAATCCTTGAATCAGCTATTTCTCTAAGGAGAGAGCCCTGGGTTTTTTTAAAGTGAGAAATTATTTTAGAAATCACAGTCTGGCCTTTCACCAGGCTTGGGGTACCGTCCTTCCCCATGGCGGGACACCTGGCTTCCGACTTTTCCTTCTTGCCCGCACCGGGTGGTGGAGGCGATGGGCCAGCAGGGCTTGAGTTGGATGGGTTGACCCCGAGCCTGGTTGAGTTCCCATGGCCCTCTGGGCTGCTCAAGAATTGGGATGGGCTTGGCCTTGGTGCTGAGGCATGGGGGATTCCCTGGTACCCTCCTCTGTATGAGTTCTGCGGGGGGGTGGCCTACTGTGGACCTCAGGTTGGAGTGGGGATGGTGCCCCAAGGTGGCCTGGAGACCCCTCAGCCCAAGGGCGAGGTAGGAGCTGGAGTGGAGAGCAACTCCAAAGGGACCTCCCCTGAGCCCTGCGCTGCCCTGCCTGGACCAAGAGAAGCTGGAGCAAAACCCTGAGGAGGAGGACATGAAAGCTCTGCAGAAAGACCTCGAGCAGTTTCCAAGCTCCTTAAGCAGAAGAGGATTACTCTGTGGTACACCCAGGTCAATGTGGGGCTCACCCTGGGGGCTCTCTTTGGGAAGGTGTTCGGCCAAATGATAATCTGCTGCCTCCAGGCTCTGTAGCTCAGCTTGAAGAATATGTGTAAGCTGCAGCCCCTGCTGCAGAAGTGGGTGGAGGAAGCTGACAACAACGAGAATCTGCAGGAGATAAACAGAGCAGAGACCCTGATGCAGGCCCAAAAGAGAAAGCGGATGAGCATCGAGAACTGGTAAGGGACAACCTGGAGAGCATGTTCCTGCAGTGCCCGAAGCCCACCCTGCAGCAGATCAGCTATATTGCCTGGCATCTCAGGCTTGAGAAGGACATGGTCCGAGTGTGGTTCTGCAACCGTCGTCAGAAGGGTAAACCATCAAGCAGTGACTAGTCTCAATGACAGGATTTTGAGGCTTCTGGGCCTCCTTTCTCAGGGGGACTGGTATCCTTTCTTCGGGTGCCAGAGCCCCATTTTGGTACCCCAGGCTATGCGGGCCCTCACTTCACTACATTGCACTCTTTGGCCCCTTTCCCTGAGGGTGAAGCCTTTTCCTCTGTGTCTGTCACCACTCTGGTTCTCCCATGCATTCAAACTGAGATGCCTGCCCTTTGCCGGAAAAGCCAGGGAGAGAACCCTGAGGATTGTACCAGGGCTTGGAGGTTAAGTTCTTCGTTCACTAAGGAGTTGGGAACACAAAGAGTGTGGGGGCAGGGAGTTTGGGGATCTAGTTGGAGGGAAATCGAAATTCAGTGATGCTCTTGATTTTAATCCCCACATCACTCATCATTTTGATCTTAATAAAGAAGCCGGGGACACAGGAAAAAAAAACCAGAAATCATGGTCTGGGTGTTATGGAATGTCTCTGGGTGGGTCATTGTTTCTAGGCTTTTTTAGTGGAGAGAGCTATGAAATATGTTTATTAAGATAAAATATGTCTTGAGTTCGTACTGAAACTTCTAACTCAAATTTAGGACTAAAGGATCTTAAATTCATTGACCTCAACACATGTACCTCTTTCATCCCTTACAAAAATCCAGGTTCTCAATGACTTCAACATAATTATGCATTTACTTTATACTGTACTATGCATACAGCTGTCTCACAATAAAATACCAATATTACCACTGATGATTTGAATATTGAGTGCAGTTGAAGGTTTTTTTTCTTTTTAAAGATTTTTTTAAATTATGTATTTAAAAAAAAATTTTATTGGGGAATTGGGGGAAGGGGAACAGACAAGTTGCTGTCGTTCTTCAGTCTAGTTGTGGAGGACGTTGCTTCACTGGCCCAAGTTGGCA